GAGGTTCTAGTTTCCATGCATGGTCCTTGGTTGGAGTATTAATCTCAGAAAAGACCTCTGAGCTCAGATTTCTTGGTTCTGTTGCTCTCCTTGTGGCGCTCCTGTCCCCTCCAGGTCTTTCTATCTCCCCTTCTTTCATAAGGTTCTCGGCACTCTGACCAAAGTTTGGTTATGAGCCTCAGCATTTGCTTTGAGACACTGTTGGGTAGAGTATTTCAGAGGCCCTCTGTGGTAGGCTCCTGTCCTGTTCCCTGTTTTCTCCCTCTTCCAATGTCCATCTCGTTTGCCTTTCTGAATGAGGACTGATCATCTTACCCAGGGTCCTCCTCCAGGGTCTTGCTTAGCTTCTTTAGGTGTACAGATTTTAGTATGTTTATCCTGTATTATATGTCTAATATCCACTTATAAGTGAGTATATACCACGTGTGTCTTTCTGCTTCTGGGATACTTCAGTCAGGATGATCTTCTCTAGTTCCCATCATTTACGTATGAATTTCATGATTTCCTTGTTTTTAATTGCTGAGTAGTATTCCATTGTGTAAGCGTACCACAATTTCTGTATCCATTCCTCCATTGAGGGACATCTGGGTTGTTTCCAGCTTCTGTATATTACAAATAAAGCTGCTATGAACATGGCTGAGCAAATGTCTTTGTTGTATACTTGAGCATCTTTTGGATATATGCCTAGGAGTGGTATAGCTGGATCTTGAGGTAGCACTATTCCTAATTGTCTGAGAAAGCGCCAGATTGATTTCTGGAGTGGTTGTACCAGTTTACATTCCCACCAGCAATGGAGGAAGGTTCCCCTTTCTCCACAACCTCTCCAGCATGTGTTGTCACTTGAGTTTTTTTTTTATCTTAGTCATTCTGATGGTTGTAAGGTGAAATCTCAGGGTCGTTTTGATTGGCATTTCCCTGATAGCTAAGGATGTTGAGCATTTCTTTAAGTGTTTCTCTGCCATTTGATACTCCTCTATTGAGAATTCTCTGTATAGCTCTGTACCCCATTTTTTTAAATTGGATTACTTGCTTTGTTAGCTTCTTGAGATCTTTCTATATTTGAGATATTAGCCCTCTGTCAGATATAGGGTTGGTGAAGATCCTTTCCCAATCTGTAGGCTGTCATTTTGTTCTGATGAGAGTGTCCTTTTGCTTTACAGAAACTTTTCAGTTTCATGAGGTCCCATGTATTGATTGTTGACCTTAGAGCCTGTGCTGTTGGTGTTCTGTTCAGGAAGTTGTCTCCTGTGCCAGTGAGTTCAAGGCTCTTTTTCACTTTTTCTTCTAACAGGTTTAGTGTGTCTGGTTTTATGTTAAAGTTTTTGATCCACATGGACTTTAGTTTTGTTTAGGATGATAAATAGGGATCTATTTGCATTTTTCTACATGTGGATATCCAGTAAGACCAACACCATTTGTTGACGATGCTATCTTTTTTCCATTGTTTGGTTTTGGCTTCTTTGTCAAAAATCAAATATCCGTAGGTGTGTGGGTTTATTTCTGGGTCTTCTATTCGATTCCATTGATCCACCAGCCGGTTTCTGTGCCAGTACCACACAGTTTTTACTACTTTGCAGCTTGAGATCAGCTTGAGATCAGGGATGGCGATACCTCCAGAAGATCTTTTATTGTAGAAGATTGTTTAAGCGATTCTGGGTTTCTTGTTATTCCATATAAAGTTGAGAATTTTTCTTTCAAGGTCTGTAAAGGATTGTGTTGGTAATTTAATGGGAATTGCATTGAATCTGTAGATTGCTTTTGGTAAGAGGGCCATTTTTACTATGTTAATCCTGCCAAGCCATGAACATGGACAATCTTTCCATCTTCTGATATCGTCTTCTACTTCTTTCTTCAGAAACTGGAAGTTTTTTACTTGCTTGGTTAGAGACACACCAAGGTACTTTATGTCCTTTGTGGCTATTATGAAATTGGTTTTCTTTGAAAGTTTCATAACTTTACAGTATATCTTGATCATACTGTCTGAACTCTCCCCAGGCCCTCTATAACATCTCGCTCTTAACTTCATGTCTTCCTTTTAAAATTATTTATTTTTAAGGGCTGGAGAGATGGCTCAGTGACTAAAAGCACATGCCTCTCTTCCAAAGGACCTGAATTCCAGTTCCAGCTCTCATGTCAGGTGGCTCACCACTGCCTGTAACTCAAGCTTCAGGAGACCTGACATCTGTGCCCTCCCACGCACATACACATACATACATACATCTGAAAAGTGAAAAAAAAAACTATTAAAATATGACTTATTTATTTTAAGTTAACATACAAATTGATAGATTTCGTAGACACTTTCATGCATATATATCCTCGTGCTTTTGTTCTTAGTCATCCTTCTTTGTCTTGGCCTCCCCTATCTTCTCCAGTCCTTCCCCCCACCCCAATAGTCTTCCCTTCTGCATTCATCAGACACAACCCAACTGAAATTAAACTCAGCAGGTGGATCTCTGTGAGTTTAAGGACAGCTTAGTCTATATAGTGAGTGTGAGGGCAGCCCAAGCTACAGAATAAGACCCCATTTAAAAACAAAAACAAAAGCAAAAGCAACCCAATACAATGTGACTTTATTTGACTCACAATTACAGGTTAAAGTCCAGCACTGAGAGGTCACTAAGGCAGTAGCAGCTTGAAGCAGTAAGTCATATTGCATCATAGTCAGGAGCAGAAGGTAATGAAGTAATGCATGCATGCCAATGAGAGACCAAAGGATTAAAAATCAGTGGCTATTATTTTAAAGTTTAAAGCACAAGCCTGAACTAAGGCCAGCCAAGTGGAGATATGTCCAGCCACCTTCAGGAAGAACTGGCCTTAATGCCCTGAGGGGAAGAACTAGCTTTACTGCACTCTTTCCTGCCCACTGGAGATACAGTTGCTAGGAAACTGGCCCATCCCCCTAGGGAGGGACATCAGACCATTAATGGTTTGGGGGCCTTCCTATTGCCAATCAATTCAACATGCAACATCCCCTTTTTTTCCACCAATAGATGCTTACCAGGCAGGAATCCCCCTGCTTTGGGTGCACTGGGAGGAACCAGAATCTTTAAATCACCCAACTAACCTGAGCATGAGGCTCCTGCCTCTCACCACTTCGGCGGTGAGGGTGTGAGGCCAAGCTGCAGCTTGTAATAAAAAGATCCTCATGTGTTTTGCAACAGACTCGATGTTTGGTGGTGGTCTTTTGGGGTCTCGTGATTCGGGCACAACACCAACACCCAACTCTTGTGCTCTCAGAAAATTTGGTGACCCAAGAAATGGTGCTATCCAAATTCAGAGTAGGTCTTCTGATTCTAATTAAACCCAATTCAGAAAACCTCTCAGACATGACCACAGGCCAACTTAATGTAAACAGTCCCTCATTAAGATGCCCCAAGTGATTCTGGATTGTGTCAGGTTGACAATCAAAACTAAGTATTAGCTGTGTGTGGTGATGCATGCCTTTAATCCCAGCACTCAAGAAGGCAGAGGCAGGTGGATCCATGTGAGTTTGAGGCCAGGCTGGCCTACAAAATGAGTCCAGAACAGCCAAGGCTACACAAAGAAACCTTGTCTGGAAAAAGCAAAAAAGAAAACAAAAACAAACAAACAAAAAAACCCTAACCATCACACAAGTATAACCCTGAAGGTCTACCTCCAGTGGCCCACTTACACCAGCCATGCTGCCTGTCCCAAAGGTTCCAGGGGACCAGGCACATAGCCTGTGGGGAACCATTAAAGATGTGGAAGAAAAATGGAGATGAGAAAGAGCAACAGAGGGGTGAATATGACGAAAGCTTATTACACGCCTGTATTGCACAGTTGTAACAAGCTCCCTTACTATAAGCCACTATTTTACATTGATAATTTTTTAATTTAATTTTACTTTTATTAATTACAATTTATTCACTTTGTATCGCCCCTGTAGCTCCCTCCCTTTTCCCCTCCCAATCCCACCTCCTTTCCTCATCCCCACTGGTGCCCCTCCCCCAGTCCACTGATAGGGGATGTCCTCCTCCCCTTCCCCCTGATCCTAGTCTATCAAGTCTCATCAGGAGTGGCTGCATTGTCTTCCTCTGTGGCCTGGTAAGGCTGCTCCCTCCTCAGGGGGAGGTGATCATACATAGATAATTTTTAAAAGAATGGACAAAGTAGTCACTAAGAATATATATGGGGCAATGGTTCAACAGCTAAGAGCACTTACCATTTTTGCAGAGAAACTTCTTCCATTTCCGAGCATGCACATGTTGGCTTACAATCATCAAAACACTCATACACATGAAAATGAATAAATCCTTAAAAAAGAACATAAGTAGCTATGTAGGAAACACATAACGTAGTATAGAGAGGTAAATATATAACTTACATATTCTAGATGGCCAACAGTGCCAGAGATGTTGAGCATGTATTTTGTTGTTATTGTTGTTCTGTTTTTTTCAAGACAGGGTTTCGCTGTGTAACCCTGGATGTCCTGGAATTTGCTCTGTAGACCTGGCTGGCCTTGAACTCACAGAGATCTATCTATCTCTGCTTCCCAAGTACTAGTATTAAAGACGTGCTCAACCACTGCCCAGCAATAAGTTCTTAAGAAAAATGCAAAACTGAGACTAGGGGTGGAGACAGTTGTCTGTAATCCCAGCACTGGAATGAAGAGGCACCTAGATCTCTGTGAGTTCAAGGTGGACCTGGTCTGCCTAGGGAGTTCTAGGACAGCCAAGACTACATAATAGAGAGACCCTTTCTCAAAAACACCAAAGAGGGAAAACATTGTTTAAAAAAATAAAGAAAAGATGTATATGTGTATATATGTATATATGTGTGTGTGTGTGTGAGAGAGAGAGAGAGAGAGAGAGAGAGAGAGAGAGAGAGAGAGAGAAATGGGCATCTATGCTCAGGCCTGGCCTCTGTTCTATGTGAAGAGTCAGGAAGAGGCAGACATTATCCTGTCCCTGGATGATTCCCAAAAAGCTGGCATCAAGGTTTCATAGAAATTCATAGGGATAATTTGGTCCAAGGATTCATTTTTCCCCTGGGGCACTGTGGTGACTTTGGGTAAAGAACAGAGCTGAATTGAGAGGAAGAAAATTTCTAAGTTGGAGGGATTCCTACTCACGCCCATTTCCCTTTGTTTTTATCTGGAGATGTTTGAAAGGTATAATCTTCCCTAAACACTTCATTTTGGGGTAGGTTGTTGAGATACGGTCTCATGGTCAAGCTGTCCTCAAATTTGCTATGTAGCCAAGCATGACTTTGAACTTCTGAATCTCCTACTTCCCAAGTGCTGGGATTACAGATGTGCACCAGTATATACTGTTTATGCAGGGCTGGGGATCAAGTACAGGGCTTCATGACTAACATCTGTAACTCCATTTCCAGGGGACTGGTCACTCTATTCTGGCCTCCTTAGACACTGCACATACATGATGCACAGACAAAAAATGCAGGCAAAACACCCATATACATAAAATAACCTTTTAAAAACATTTATCTATCTATCTATCTATCTATCTATCTATCTATCTATCTATCTAT